CAGCAGGTCGCTGCGGCGAAGGGCTGCTCTCACGCGTGGCCGCCAGCCCGCCCCACGCGTGGCGCGCAAAGGCGGGCACGCTTGGACATCGCGTCCTCCCCCGCCCATGGGCATCCTGCCCGGTACTCCCCGCTCCCTCATCGCCCTCGGGCGTGACATCGCGCTGTCCGCGTCGTTGTCCTCGCGGTCGTCGTCGCCGCAGTCGTGGACATCTCGCCCCGAAGCTCTTCCTACTCCTCCCCATGCTGCTCTTCCTTCTCCTCCCCATGCTGCTTATCGTCCTGGCGTCCTGGCTTTCAGCGTTCCCATCTCCCCACTCACAGCTTGCTCATCATCCTCCTTGGTCGTGCCCCCCTCTTCCCACCTCTGCATTTCTCTACTGCCTCCTCTTTCGTCGGCACCGTGCGCATCACATTACTAGCGCCATCGTCCTGATGTTCCTCCTTCTTCTGCTGCTGCTCCTCCGCCATACCCATCCCTCCATCTCCCTCCCGCATCCGCATTCGTCCCGACTGCCATATCCCCCCGAGTCGCATTAGCAGCCTCGTCGTAGCAGTCGTCGTCATCGTCGTCGTCGTCGTCGTCGATGCCGTCGTTATGATTTAACGTCCAGAGGCTTCTCTTTGTTTGGCTCCTCCTCGACCTCGCCGAACGTATCCTGTTCTTCCTAAGCCCCTCCGCACCCTCCTCCTCATCCGATCTTCGTCCCGATCCTCCTCCTCCTCCGTCTCCCCCTCCTCATCATCCTGCTGCTCCTCCTCCTCCTCCTCCCTCTCCTGCTGCTCCTCCTCCTCCTCCTCCTCCTCCTGCTCCTCCTCCTCCTCCTCCTCCTCTTTCTCCTCTTCCTCCTTCTCCTGCTCCTGCTCATCATCCTCCTCGTCCTGCTCCTCCTTCTCCTCCTCCTCCTCGTCACAACCACCACCACCACCACCATCTCCCTCTGCTCCACCCCCTGCGCGTCCTCCTACTCGTACTCCTCCTCTCCTCCCTCCCCCCCCCCTCCTCCTCTTCCTCTCCTCCTCCTCCTCCTCCTCCTCTCCTCTCCTCCTCCTCTCCTCCTCCTCCCCCTCTCCTCCTTCTCCTCCTGCTCCTTCTTCTCCTCTCCTCCTCCTCCTCCTCCTCTCTCCTCCTCCTCTTCTCTCCTGCTCCTCAACCTCCTCACACACCACCACCACCACCACCACCACCACCTCTGAAAACCCCCTGTGCGTCCTCCTACTCCTCCTCCTCTTCGTCCTTCTCCTCCACCTCCTCCTCCTCCGCCTCCTCCTCCTCCACCTCGACCTCCCCCTTCTCCTCCTCCTCCTCCTCCTCCTCCTCCTCCTCCTCCTCCTCCTCCTCCTCCTGTCCGGAAGACGCGCAGGCCGCCGCGCCCGCGCGGTCCTGAGCACGGGCCCGTTGCCAGACCTCGGGGAGGCCGGTGGGGGCGCGCGGAGCGGAGCTGCCTGTCTGCCCGCCCGCCCGCCCCTTGGTCGCCGCAGTCGGTCGGTCGCCGTCGCGGTCCCAGTCGCCGCCGTCGCGGCCGTCGCCGCTGCCGTCGGTGGCCGTCGGTCGCAACCGCCGCCGTCGCTGCGGACGACCCCTGCGGGGGGTGCGTCCCGGGGCCATCAAGCAGATGGAGCTGGGAGGAAGGGCCGCCCCCCCCGGGAGGGGGCCGCTGCCACGGGGCCCGCGGATGAAGCAGAATGCATTGCTGATATATGCGGTCCTGGCTCCCTGAGCTTCCTTCTCCTCCACCTGCTTGTGCCGCTTTGGCTCCTGCTGCCTCCGCCCCTCGAGCCTGCGTCTCCTCCCCTAGCTCGTTGTGCCCGCGCCCGCTTCTCCTCCCGACGGCTGAGCAACATCCTGCTCCTCTTAATGCATGCCCCCATCCTCGGAGTCATCTTCCACCTCCTCCTCCTCCTCCTCCTCCTCCTCCTCCTCTTCCTCCTGCTCATCATCCTCCTCCTTGGCGTCCTCTTCCACCTCATCCTCCTCCTCGTCCTCCTCCTTTCCTCCTCCTCTTCCTCTTCCTCCTCCGCATCCTCGTCCTTCGTTGCATCCTCCTCCTCCTCCTCCTCCTCCTCCTCCTCCTCCTCCTCCTCCTCTTCCTTCTCCTCCTCCTCCTCCTCCTCCTCCTCCTCCTGCTCATCTTTCTCTCGATATTCAATCACGTATCTGGCCTCCTCCTCCTGTTATGTTCGACTTCCGCTGGCGTTGTTGCGCGAGTGTTCGGCCATCAGTTAGTGGTGTCGGTGAGTTGTGTCACGAACCGACCCATGCAATGACCCTCTATTTCCACCAACTCTTGCACCTGTTGCTTTAATTATGTTCGCTTCTGTCTGCTCCGCCTCCTCCTGCTCCTCCTCCTCATCATCATTATCATCCTTCTCCTCCTCATCATCCTTCTCCTCCTCGAACCTTATTGTCCTTCTCGAACCTTCTTCTCCTCCTCCCTCCAACTCGTCCGTCGAACTCCGTCTCGTGCTCCCGGAGTCTGACCATCCCGCTCATTGTCCATTCCTCCCCTTTCATGCCCCTCCCTCTTTCCCGTCCTCCATCTTTCACCCTCCTGCTCCCCCTCCCCCTCCACTCCGTTCTCGTCCTCCTCCGCCTCCTCCTCCTCCTCTTCCTCCTCCTCTCCCGCCCCCTTCCGACGCAAGACGCATGGGGCGCCAGTAAAGGCGCGTGCGCGGCACGCGCACGATGAACACCTGCAAATTTAATCTCCAGGGCAACGTAGCCGGGGCGATATCCAGGCCCATCACTCTCGTAACTTGCTACCTGCTGCCTCTCTTGATTATTCAGTTGCTGCTTCCCCTGCTTTCTCATTCTCGCCAGGTCCACCTCTTCTGTGGGCAGAATGGAGGTGAACCTTCCCCTGTACGCGGTCCCGACCTCCACGACACAGCCCAGCGGCAATGCCGGCGGTCGCGCATGCAAGTCATGCGTGCACGCCATTACACAACCTCATGTTACGGCTTGTGAAGCCAGACGGCACAATCTCCCAGACACTTTTGTGCAAATGTGTGTTTGGGCCGAGGCACCTGGCACCACCAGAAAGGGCCAGTACACTGGGCACCTGGTACCACCAACACATCCAAGTTGTTGGTTGTGAGCCTGAGCTAGGTGGCCACCGGACAGACGCGCTCGGCACATTCGTTATTCGCGAGACGCCCTCCCAAATCTTCTCATGGAAGGGCCAGGGCAATACAGGGGGGGAGGAGAAAGTCCCCATACTCCCAACCTCCTTCTCCCCCCCTGACTTATCAGACCCTCTGTCCGCCTCCAACTGACGACCTGGAGACCGTGGTCGACGGGAGAATGCATAAAGAGGGCAGGATCTCCAGGCTGTGCAAAGTGGACCCCGACGGGAAGGATGATGCGGAGCGCGGGAAGGCATAGTTTGGGCAAAATCGGGTCGGGATAGAGCCGCCAACATTAACCGCTGCAGACTTCTTGGCTCCATGCCGATGATACGCCGATGCTCCCCTGTCCCACATTTCCTAGCCTTCCCGTGCATCGACTCGATACCGTTCCCCTCTCATTAGACGCTGCCCTCCCGACAAACTTCCGCCTCATGTTTCCCCTCTCCACCTCGCGCATCTTGCCCATCCTGACCACTATTTGCCCTATCGCGCCTTTCTCATTCCCAAGGTCTGCACCCTCCCATTCGCCAACCGCGCGCATCATGTCCAACCCCCCCCCCTCGCCCCGCATCCCGGCCACCTGACCATATTGCATTAATTGCACGCCCTGCCCTCTCTCAACCCTCGCGATCCTAATTTGTTCGATGTCGTTGATGTCCCAATTCCACTGGCTCCCACTACGAAACGGAATATCCTGAAGCTCGAGTGCTGTGGGTCGCCAGCCCCGCAGAAGCCGCTTTGCTGAGTAGCGAGCGCCCCAAACCACACACACCCGCTGGCGACCCGTAGTGGTAGTACGCAGATCCACATCGCAGGTGGCTGCGACATCAGTTCCAAGCCTTCCCTTGGATCTATCTCCCTGGGCTTAATGTAGACTGCGCTGGGTGCCAGGCGATGCGCACCAGGGAGCAAAACCCCGTGCCTTGGTGGCTGCTGCTCGAAGACCAGCCATCTGGGGACCTTCCACCCCAAAAGGAACCGCAGCGTCTTAGAATTCTCCTCCTCACCCTTGGTTCCGCCGCGTTCCGCGTTCTCACCATACCAAGCCAGCCCAAGATGTGGTATCCATGCGGTGCGCTCTAGCGACTCGCATACACACGCCGTGCATTCCCACGGTGCTGGCGCAGAGATCAGAGCCCCGACCCAGCCAGTGTGATGAAAAGCCGCTCCTCCCACGCCTGAACCCTGGTCTGCGGCCGCCGCCGCCACGGCGAGCCGACGGAGCCACGGCGCAACGTCGGTGCCGCGGCACGCACGCGTCGCCGCCGTCGCCATGGCCGTCGCCGTCGCCATGGCCGTCGCCGCCGCCGTCGCCGTCGCCGCGGTTTCCACCTCCGCCGCCACTGCGGCCGCGACCGCAATCGTCGACGGCGTTGGCGGCGGCTGCGGCGACGGGGGCGGCGACGGCGGCGGCGACGACCACGACGACCACAGTGGCGGCGACAGTGGGCGGCGCCCACGGTCGTCATCGCCGCTGCTGGTGCCGGCGGGAGGAGCACAGAGCAGGTCTTGCGGCTCCCCCTGGCCGCCTGGCCGCAACTCGTCCACGAGGTGGGCGAGGACCATGCGGAGGAAGAGGACGACGAGACGGCGACGGCAGGGGGAAGATGGCATGCAGGGGGATCATGCGGAGGGGGGAGACCAGGAAGACGAGGAGAAGCAGGAGCACGAGGAGGAGGAGGAGGAGGAGGAGGAGGAGGAGGACGCCGCGACGCAGAATTGCCCCGGGGCACGGGGTCGAGGCCTCTGGGGCCCGTGGGGGGGAACACCATACACACACGCCGTCAAAGGTTTGGATCAGCCCTGCTGCCTGGCGTCTGGTTGGGCTGGTGGCAGGAGGCCAAAAGCGCAGCTTCAGGCGCAGTTGCTGTTCTTTCGGACCCGCAGCTCGCCTTCAAGGCTGCTCCACATGGCGCAACTCCACTCCCCAAGGGCTCCGACGCAGCCAGCGGTGTGTCTGGTGCACCCCGCGCTGCGTCCTACAGCGTTTCCCCAAGATGGCGCGCGAGCGCCAAGGCCAGAACTCGCAGCACCATCGCCCTACTCCGTGTCTAGCAGCAGAAGGAGCAGCAAGTCGTGCAAAAGCAGCGTCATGCAGAATTGCCAAGGACAAGAAAAGACGGGGAAGCCTGGAACCCGCGCCCCCGCTGGGCAATCCGCGTGCGAGCCCTGACCCCCCGCGGGTCAGACTCCCGAAGCACCAGCGGGGGCCCCGAAATCCGAGGGACTCCTGCAGCCGCGTGACCCCTGCAGGGGAGTGCCCGACCCCCCCGCTGGGGCGCCCGAGTTATCCGGGTTTAACTCGGGCCCGGGGCAGCTCGGGCTCGGGCTCCCGAAAAACGAGCCCGAGTTGGCCCTGACCCGAGTTACCCCTAATGGTTCGAAGCTCTGGACGCCCGAATTATCGGAGGTAGCTCAGGCCTGGGGCGACTCGGGCTCAAATTCCCGAAAAACGAACCGGAGTTAGCCCTGACACGAGTTGCCCCTGATGACTCGTGGCTCTGACCAGCGTCGACTGGATCCGCGAGTGTAGGGTTCGCAAGTGGTCGCCGATCGGCAGGCGGGACACTGGCCCAGGCGGCGCGGACTGTGCAAATACGCCCCGGGCAGCGGCTCCCACGCGCTGGTCGCCTGCCTCCAACTGGACAGCAGCAGCTGCTGCCTGCGCCGCAGGCAGCCACTGCTTCTGTGGCGCAAGCAGGCCTCTCGCAGCCGCAGCAGCAGCCTCAGAGGGCGTCCCCGCCCAGCAGCCTGTGCCGGCGCCGCAGCAGCTCCTCGCGGCGGGCGTTCTCCGCCTCGGCACCGACGAGCACCTGCCCCCAAACCGTGTGGTCCACTGTCTGCTTCTTTGATTCGCCGTCGTCCTAGCGCAGGAGACACCTGCACACCGCATCCGCGCATGGGCGTGGTGCATACGCACTCCTGACCGATCCCAGGGCGATTTATGTTGCACCATCCAGGGGCCCAGGATGGCCCTGGCCCTGGCCCTGCACGGTGTCGGTGTATAGGTGCCTTCTGCGGACTCCTTATAGAACTCCACTGCGCCCTTGCCGCCGAGCTCCATGACCTCGTCTGTGACTACGTGGCTGGCGATCTCGCTCACGACGTCCGTGCGCGTCGTGGCACGCCACTCCCAGCGCTCCTTCTCCCGGATCTCTGCCTCCACCTCCTTCAGCTCGGCGTCCAGCTGCTGCAGCGCCTGCGCCACGGCTGCGCAGGCGTCGGGTGGGGCGCCGTCGCGCTGCGCCACGACCTGGCTGCACATCTCGCCGAACCGCAGGGTCTGGACGGTCTCGTCGGCGTGCTGGTCCTCCAGCCCCATCCTCTCCCCCCTGCCCTCTTGATCCTCTTCCTCCTTGTCCTCCTTTTGAATGCTCCTGAAGGCTTCGAAGCCGCCTGGGCTCAACTCCTCATCCTCCCTCTTCTCCTCCCCCTCCTCGGGACTGCAGCAGAAGACCATGGACGTCCGCGACTCGCCCGTGAAAATGCGTTCGAGGAGCAGCGTCAATTTGGAGTCCCGGAACGGCACGCGGGTCCCGGGGACGCGGGGCCTCTCGTTCAGGGCCTGGATGCACCGCTTGAGGGCGAGCAGGCTGGTGTTGATGTGGGTCGTCTCCTGCAGCTTCTTGTTTCCCCTGAAAAGCACATGAACTTCACGATACACGCCCTCAAGCGCCATGCGATTGAAAGAATTGCTGGGCGAGCCAGGGGCAACCCACGAGCCTGCTGGCGATAAGCAAACTCATGAGGAGAACCGTGGCCTGCGAGAGAACGAGCGCGCTAAGAGTGACGAATTACCCCCCCCGTGCGCACGCCGCAGGCAAGAGGATTCGCAAAGAGGTGCTTCCCGCCTGAAAGGGTATGATTTGCACCGGAGTGAGCAGCTCCTGCAGCTTCTTTTTTGTTCGGTGCGCCTCGGGCATACAATCTTCGGGGTGGACCTCTGTGCCTGAATTTCGTGCCGCTGCTGTTACAGGGGCGGAGGGCGACGAGGGAACGCAAAAGACGAGGGCCGAGGCGGGAACGACGACAACCCAAAGCGCAGAGACGACAACCCGAGGGGAGAAGGGCAAGAAAGCGGAGACGACAATGCGAGGGTCGTCTCCTGCAGCTTCTCGCGGCTGTGGTAAAACTCCTGCCACGTGGGCCGCGGCTCGTCCTGCTCCTCGGAGAAACAAGTAAGGTATCGATGCCGGTTCTCCTGACCTCTCCGGGTTTGCGCTCTGAGAAGAAGTTCAAGACGAATCAAACCGTGGCGACGAGGGCCTCCAAGTAGGCTCAGAAAATTGAAGACGATGCCAAGGTTTCCTGAGATCCGAAGGGCAACAAAAAAGTACGACATTGCAAACAATCACGACCGGAACCCTATAGAATCCATCTTTCTGCGCCAGTTTTAAACCCAGATCGATCAGTGAGGGTGCTGGGGCCCGAAACCAAGCGAAATCGCCCGTTGTGGAGAAAATGTGACGCAAGCCCAGACATGCGACGTCCTGATCTTTTCAGGACGGCGTCCCCGGAAGTCCCGACTCTTAAGCCTGGGGCCGGTTTTGCACCCTGAGCCGTTTTTTGACGGTCCCGGGGCCCGGCGAGGGCCTCGAGAGGATAAAAACGACGAAAAACCTCCGTCCTGAAATTTTTACGACGCGATCATGTCTGGGAGGATCTCAGGATGCAATAATTATCAATACCTTTCCCTCCCCTGGGGTCCCCGCACTTCCAGCCCATCGACCGGAGCCCCTCGTGGGCCCCGCTCTTCGACAGACGCTCGGAGCCGCCCAGGTCCACCAAGGACAGAGTGGCCTTCGGTCGGGCATGTCCCCCTACAGGCGGATTCTGGACGAAAACCAAACAATACCCCCAAAATGCTCCAACATACAAGAACTGCGTGTATGTGTATATCTATATTTTTAAAAATAAAGATCAGAAAAAAATCGTCCCTGACACTTTTTTGACTATTTCTGAACACTCCTCCTGTAGAGGGACAGGCCCGACTTAAGAGTGGCCTCCACATGCTCGCGCTGTCCCGGCGCGCGCTGGCGCACGCGCAGGACGACCAACACGTGGGCCCGGGTGCTGCGCTCGTTCATGGCGGTGCTGGCGATCCTCTTGTTCTCCTCGCCCCTGGCGAGCAGCGACGCCATGGCGGCCCCGTCGGCCACCTCCTCCTCTTGGGATGAAGCCCCGGCACCCTCGAGCGGTGGCAAGAACATCACGGCGGAGGGTGCTTTCACATGGTCGGCCTCCAGGGGCCCATTGCCAGGCATCGGGGCCGTCAACAAGCAACTCAGGATGAAAAGCCCGTCCCCGAGAAGGGGTCCAGACCTTTGGGGCTCGTTTTGAAAAAATCACGTCTGGGAGCGGGTTCTGGATTCCAGGGCGTACCCCTGCGACCAGTTCCTTCCTGCCCTGGGGCTCCGCTGGCAAGCCCCGAGAGCCCAGAAACTGCAACAAAAAACACCTCAGGACCCGCTTGCCCCAGATCCGATTCCCCAGACATCCAACGATCGTGTTTTGTTCTCCAATGCGGGCCCCACGGAGGGAGCCCCGATCCTTTTCCAGGGGCAAAGTATTTATCCCGGATCCGTTGTTGATGGTCTCGAGGCCCGATGACAGGTCCGGATGCCGGAATCGGGGAGAAACGCCCAGATCGGACAAAAAAACATATCGTCAGAACTCTGGGTCGCTCCACGGCGGATCCTCTCTTTTCCATGCAGACACATGAACTCCACACTATACATCCTCAACCGCCATGCGGTTCAAAGGGTCGCCAGGCAAACTGGGAGCAACCCACGAGCCGACCTGCGCTAGGCGTCCTGCTACAGGCAAACGGGTGAGGCGAACCGCGGCCCGAGAGAGAGAAAGAGAGAGAGAGAGAGAGCGCAAAGTAACGAGTTCCCTCCCCTCTGCGCCGGCTGCAGGCCAGAGGACTCGTGAAGCGATGCCTCCCGCCTGAAAGGGTATGATGTGTACCGAAGTGGGCCGCTCATGCAGCTTCTTCCTTGCTTCGTGCGCCCAGGCGTACAGCCTTCGGGATGGACCTCTGCTGGAATTTCGCGCCGCTGCTGTTTCAGGGGCGGAGGGCGACGAGGTAACGCCGAAGAAGAGGAGGAAGACGAGGCCGAGGCGGGAGCGACGACGACCCAAAGCGCAGAGACGACAACACGAGCCTGAAAGGGTATGATTTGCACGGCACCAGGGCTGATCCTCGTAGCCCGGAGGGTGGGAGTTGATGTCGGCGGCCAGGAGGTTCTTCACGCTGTTGCCGAAGACCTCGACGAAGCTGACGCTGAGGGTGGCGTCGAAGCCAGCGCCGCGCCTCGCCTCAAGGCCTCGCAGCACCTCGTCGACGACCCTCGCGGGGGAGGGCGCCATGCATTCACCCACCCACAGAGGCAGGATATCCAACGCGGAGACAGGAGATTCTCATTCCTCCTCCTCCTCCTCCTCCTCCCTTCCTCCCTCCCTCCCTCCCTCCCTCACATCCCTCCTCCATCTGCGCCAACGCTCGCTGGGCAGACTGTGAGGGCGGCTTGTGGAACTCGGCCACTCTTCTGGCATTGTGTCTACGGCGCGGGGGCAGTCCTGCGTCCTGTGCAGCGTGCAGACTTTGAGTCCCACGTTCCACATCCGCGGGCTCTGCTCTCGCTCGGAGCTCCCCCGGCACGCTTTCTGGGCGGCGATGGGACGTGGATGCCTTCCTGCCCCCTGGGGCCCCCTGGGGGCGGGGCGCATTCATGTCCTGTGCCCCCGAAGCCCCCGCGGGGATAGATTAGCCGATCTGCAAATCGGTGAGTATGCCCGGCGTGGGGTACAATATAGCCTGCGGGCTCGGCATGAAAGGCATGCCCATATGGGGGGACGAAAGGGTAGGATGACAGAGGTTAAGGTGAAGAATCAGCTCATGTAACTAGCTGGTCTTCCTTGGGCCCCCTGGCGCTGGGAGACGCGGGGCCCAGCGGCGGGGCGGAAACCAGCTGCATGCAGCAGATTTCGTAACCCCCACTTTCCCTATCCTACCCTTTCGTCCCGTCCGACCGTACTTCCGACGGATTGCCTTCTCCCTGTCCGCGGGCCCCAAAAGTCTCGAAGCCTTCCCCGAGGTCCACTGCCGTCCCGGCTGGAGGCTGATTGTCCAAGCACCCAGGATAGAGTTTGATCGCCCCAGCGCGTGAACAAAAACCTCTGGAAACCGATCAATCAAAATATTCGAAACCGTCTATCCGCGAGAACCCCAGGCTGCGCCCCTGGATTGGCCTGGTCAGCACCGGCGGATGGGGCCCAGATGACGCCCCTGGACCCCCGACGAGGACCTCCACGGGTCTCGGCCACCTCTCCAAGGCCGCACACTCCTCCCGAGTCCTTCTGCCGGCCGCGGGGCCAGGACACCGCCTCCAGAGGCTGAAACGCAGAGGACAAACGCACACTGCTTCGTTCGCTCGCAGCGCGGAGCGCTCGCTGACGCGTTCGAGAGCCCGCGTGGCGAGCCGAGAGAACATCAGGAGAATGGCCGTCGCGATTTCCCTGCGACGCCCGGGTCTGAACAAGTATGCGACGCCCTGGGGCCTCGGCACCAGGCCGCGCTGGCTGGCCCCTGGCCCGTCGGCCCAGCCCGGCGGCCCGAACATGGTGTGCGTCTTCCCGCTCCCGGTCTGGCCGTAGACCACCAGCGCGCCGCTGCCTTCTGGGGGGCAGCCAGGCCGAGGTGCGAAGCAGACCTCCTTGGTCGGGTGGCGACGGCGTGGATCAGGGGCCCGTGGCTGCGGCGCGTGAGCTTCAGATCCACGGATCGGGGAAGGTGGCCCCAGGGACCATGCAGCCAGTGGCGCCTGATTTGGCCAGGGGGCGGGCCGATGTGGTATGGGAGCGGGCCCCGTCGCCAGCCCACGCGCCTCGGTACCCACGTTTGCGCTTCGTCTTCGTCCTCGGCCCCGCGCTGCCCGACGGTGAGGGTGCGACTCGCCCCTGCCCCCGAGAGGGCGGGCACGGGCGAGTCTGGGCGGACTTGCTGCTTCTAACCGAGCTGCCGATCCTCTAGAGCTCGGCTGCCGGCAGCCCCTCCTGGGACCCCGGGGCCCTCAAAGCATGGATCTGGACCTGAAGTCGGCCCGCGGGGACGGGGTCGCCACGGCCGGGCGCGCCTCGAAGGAGAACGGGCGAGGATGTCGGATGCCCCGTCGGGGGGCCTTCCCAGGCCCACGCGCACTGCTCGTGCGTCGAAGCTGCGTCAATCGTCCGTCGACTGGAGCGGAACTTGAGTCGAATCTGAGTCGAACCCGAGTCGAACCTGTGTCGAACCCGAGCCACAGTGGAGTCGAACTGGAGTCGAACTGGAGTGAACAGATCCGGTAGGTGGGCCCCAGGAAGGTCTCCAAAACGAGCATCTGAAGGATGGACCCTGGAGATGTCCCAGGCTTGTCTCAGGGAGCCGATTCCGAGAGGGAAGGCCCCGCCTCCTGGCGCTTTGAAAAAAGATGCGCCAGACGGATTGCGCCACTTTTGGCGCCCAAATGCCAGTGTAGAGGACCCCGTGGGCCAATCGAACATATGATCGGGGACGGAAGACCTGTCCCGGACAAGGGAACGAGAGCTCCAGGGGCCGGCCACTCCGAAAGATCTAGTCATCAGAGGCCTGCGGAGGGCGGCGAGGCCCAGCAGGGGTGCGCCTGGGGGGGGACCATCGCGGAGGCTCGGGGCGTCCTTGCTGAGGACAGCGAAGGACGCGTGCGAATAGCCGGGAGCGTTCCCCGCTCTGCCCTGCCGCCTTCCTTCCTCTCCTTCTCCTTCTCCCTCCTGTGCTCTGCAGTTACGTTGGTGCAATGTGGCGCCAGCGCGCTTCTTTCACCTCCTCCTCTCCTATCCTCCTCTGCTCCCCGCCTCTTCCCCACTCCTTGCCTCAGGCCGGCGCTCGTGAGCCCCACGGTGGGGTCGGGTGGCTCGCACCCCGTGGCCGCGCTGGCCTCCACCGCCTCCTGATTCTCTCCTGCTCCCTCCTCCCCGTCCTCCTCTCTCCTTCCTGCACGACTGTGCGTTCCACTGCGTGCTGAGCAAAGCCCATACGACACAGAAGTTGCAGCAGACGGCTGCCTTGTCTGCCCCCCTCGTCGTCGTCGCTCTCCTCAGAGCGTCCTTCCATGGAGCTGGAGTTCAGCAGTTCCAATACGGCCGCGTGTTGCCAACACGCATCGGCCGAGCTTCATCCTTTCAAAGAATTTGTCGGGGGCGCCCACTGTGGCCTCCGACAAATTCCTGGCGGAAGTGGCACGTCACATCATCCCTGTGTGCTCAGGCCCCCCATGGGGCCTCCGTTGAGGAGGTCCACGGCGAGCCGCAGGCCGCACCGCCTGTAGAGGTCCTCCTGCGTGGCCGAGTCCCCGAAGACGTGATCGAAGTCCCAGCCTGAGGGGCCATGCCAGAGTGAAGGGGCCCTGGGACACACAAATAAGTAAGACACATATAACAGGATTCCCCATATGTTCCCATATGTTCTGGGCTTTTGTCTTCCCCCCCACTTCCCATATTTTCCCATATTTCTTGGGAATCGACGATTAATTGTGTATGTGTGTTTTGTTCCCTCCAGACAGAGGGCGGGGGCATCGGCCCAGGATTGGCATGGGACCGGCGATGCATCGCCGCTAGATCGGGAGTAGGCTCTCGACACCGAGCGCGCACGCTTCTGGGGCGGGATGGGCTGTCAAGCCACTGTCGGCGATCGATGGGCAGTGGTGAATCGATGAATCCCCCTGAGACTATCCTTAGAAAGCCCAGGGTTCGCTAGGGACTGTCTCCCCCGAAACTAAGAAAATCCTTCCCAAACACTCTGAACAACCCTCCGAAAAGCCTCCTGGAATCCTTTCGGCGGGTTTTCGGAAGGTTTCGGGAGGGCTTCGGCTGCTCTGACATGGAAACCAGCCCCCAGCGAGACCTGGACTTTCTGAAGACTATGCCCCCCTGATGTTGCCCACAGCAGCCGCGGATACCGATGCCCGGCGACACGGTCAACACGGAGCCCGCGTCGCCCGGCGTCACCGAGAGCACCGACGAAGTGAAGCCGCTCGCGCCCGAGGCTGGCGCGCCCTCGTCGCCTGGCTCCTCCGCGGCGGCGCTGTCCTTCGGGCGCGGCCAAGAGGGGGGCGTCCAAGAGGGGGGGCGCAAATCATGGCCGGCGGCATGTGCACGGCCCAGGGGGTGGGGGCCGGGGACGTAATGAAACAAGAAGAAGGGCCATGAAACCTGGGGAGATAGCATGGCCCCCGCCATGATCCCCCCCCCCCTAGTCATCATCCCCCTCTCTGCCGCCCCCGAGTCCTGCTGCAGCAGCCGCTGCATCGCCTGCTTCTGCGAGAGCTCGGGGTGTGCCTCCAGAGGGGGCGCAGGGAGCCCGGACGCCCCAGCGCGTCGCGACAGCCAACAGAAGCCCACGGAGGGCTGCTTCGGCAATGTGCTCGGCCTCTGGGGTTAGGTCGGGCATGTCCTCCTCCAGGCGGATTTTGGACGGAAAATAAAGAGTGCTCAAACAAGAACAACAAATAGTCAAACATACTCCCAAAATCGTCCCCAGACTATTGTTTCACTATTTTAGGATACCCCTCCTGTTGAGGGACACGCCCGTTTCAACTCTGGGGGCCTTCGGCTGGCTCCGGAGCCGTCCAAGCGAAAAAGAAGGGTGGACAGCCAGTCCGCGGGGGGAGGTGCCCAGGACTCCGGGGAGAGCGAGGCTGCGAACCACAAGTCACGACGTCGACCGCCTGCGTGTACGAGCCTGCGCTGATCGGGGGACAAAAAAGTGTCATAAACATAACAACTCGGGGGTCCGCGCGGATTTCTCGGATCCGCGCTGGACCCCCCTCTCTGGCGCGCGGAGCGCGCCAGGGGCGGCGCTGGAGACGCCGCCTGGGGGCCTCAGCGCCGATCGGAGAAATCCGCGCGGACCTCCGAGTTTTCATGTTTATGTCACTTTTCGACCCCCTAGCTGATCCTGGCCGGGCCCCTGCCGTTCAGATTCTTTCTCGGGTAACGGTCGCAACCGAGGGGGGGGGGTGCAAAGTTTCCCTGGGGGCCGTAGGCGACCCGAGGAGGGGGAGGAGGAGGAGTCGGAGGAGGGGGAGGGGGAGGAGGAGATGGAGGGAGGAGGAGGAAGAGGAGGAGGAGGAGGAGGAGGCGGAAAAGGAGGAGGAGGAGGAAAAAGAGGAGGACGAAGAGGCGAAGGAGGAGGAGGAAGAGAAGCAGGAGGAGAAGGGGGACGGGTCGCCTAAGCACTTCGGAGAAACCCTCCAGGGGGGGGGGATCGGGCGGAAGGTGAGGGTAGCGGCGGCCGCAGCGTGCAGCCGCAAGGGTGCGCCCGCGACACCGGCGCATCAATCGCCTGTGTGCACCATTGAGCACCGTTTATCCGACCCCCAGTCCCAGCGGCGTGGCCTGGGCCCCTCTGGCCGAGTAACTCCCCTAGATGGGGATATAGGTCGCTCCCTTCGGGTTTCGAGGGGTGTATCCCCAACTGGGGTGGTAATTTGGTGTGGGTCTCGAAGGGATGAGGATGGGGCTGGGGTCGTTTAAACCATAGCATGTAGGGGGGGGGTCGGGCCCCCCCCCAATACGATCGTTAGCGTTACCCGGGGAGGGGGGGGGGCCTTGGCCCAGATAACGAGCGCTTCCCTGGGGAGGGAACGAACACGCCCACCCAGGCCAAGGATCGGTGTCAGCAAGCTCTCCTGGCCAGGGCAGGAGGAAGGAGAAGCCGCAGACGGAGGGACGGCACCTCAGGAGGGCGCACACAGCGAACCCGTGCCCCTCAGCGCCACCCAAACGAAACTCCTATAAAAAAACGGGCTCGGATCCACGCAGGAGGGAGATGGGGCATTCATGTCCCTGCCGCTTCCAAATTGTGCCGGACCCGCGCACAAGGTTGGGGAGACTACAAGGTACCGCTACCGCTACTGCCCAAGACCTCTCTTGGGGTGCGTTCTGACTAGAATTTCGAGGCGAACTCAGCGGTGGCGACGAGGGCCTCCCAAGAAGCTCCAAGAGAAGGGAAAACGAGGGGCAGGTTGGCGGTCTCGGTCCCTGTCCCTCCTCTGGCATGCCGGTCTCCAGCCAATCTCTTAAGAAGCGCTGCCAGAGGCGCCCACTGAGCACCAGCCCCTCGATGCCACTGCAAGGTGCAGGGCCCATGGGAGGAGTCAGGCGTGCCAAAGATCGAATAGACAAGTCGGATCGGCGATCGAAACGAGTCGGATCGGCGAACATCGGCAGCCAGGTCGGGAGACGTCGGATCGGCGCAAGCCGGCAGGCTGGCAGGCCGCCACTGAGACATCCGGACCCAAATCGGAATGGGAAATCATGCCGGACCGGAATCGGAAACCATCGAACTCGAATCGAATCCGATGGGAGTAATCGAAACCGGCCCTGGGGGTGCGCCTGGCCTGGTCGCACTCGGCGCAGGCGTATGTCACGCTGCATATTCGGGGAGACCTCCTCTGCCACATCGCGCCAACCAAACGTGTCGAACCGCGTCGAGTCCATGCCGGGCAGATCGAATCCCACGTCGGATCCGTGTCGGATCCACGTCGAATCCGCGCCGGGAGCAGAAGAAGACGGCAACCAGTAGGACAGAACAGTGTCGGCTACACGCAGGATTGACTCTAGGCACGCATGACCTTTGGTGGGCGGCTGCAGGGGGGAGAGGGGGGGGGGCCAGACGAGTGCGAAAGCCGCTGCTGTCGCACCGCGTTCAGCGATCAGGGGGCACGCCCGCACCAGAGGTCCCTCCGGCGGAAGGTCACTCTTACACGCGCGGCCGCCGCATGTCCTCCGACAGTGCCACGTGACATGTGCATCGGTGGCGCGGCGCCCCCCGACTGGGGAAACCAAAAGGCACAGATGCCGTCACTCCCCGGACCTCTCCTGGGGTGCGTTCTGACCAGGATTTCGAAGCGAATCCAGCGGTGGCGACGAGGGCCTCCGAGGAGCCCCAACCAGGGGAAAACGAAGAAAGGGTATGGGTATGGGTACCTTTTCCTCCTCTGACCGACCCTCCTCCTCCTCCTCCTCCTCCTCCTCCTCCTCCTCCTCCTCCTGCTCCTCTTCCTCCTCCTCCTCCTCCTCCTCCTCCTCCACAATTGAACAACATTTATACTCCCCTCCTTTCTCCCCTGGTGGCGTCCGGGAATTGGCCCGCCCCCCTCCGCGTACGGTTCTTTACACACAGGATTCCCCGGAAACGGGTTTTCGCTTGGGCTTTTTGTGTAAAGATGCTGCTCTCGCAGAAGCACCGGGCTCATTTTCGGGCTACCGCTCGTTCCGAATCGTGCTCCCGCTTCAGCGCTGGCCTCATTTCCGCGCTTCCGCTCGTTCCGAATCGTGCTCCCGCTGCAGCGCTGGCGTCATTATTTCCAGCGCCATGCCACGGCATGGCTTTCGGTCCTGCCAAGTAGGCTCCAAAATCTAGAAAATGCCCCCCCGAAACAACAATTGGAAGTGATTACTCATTCGGTGTCGATTCGTCCTTTTGGGGTCGCAGACGCTCTCCCACTTTGGGGCGTCGTCGCGCCATGCTATGTCTGGCTACGCGTGCGCCCTCTGAATCATGCTCCCGAACAATGGCCTCATTTCCGCGCTTCCGCTCGTTCCGAATCGTGTTCCCGCTGCAGCACTGGCGTCATTATTTCCAGCGCCATGCCACGGTATGGTTTTCGGTCCTGCCAAATCGGCTCCAAAATCTAGCAAATGCCCCCCCCGAAACAACCATCGGACGTGATGACACATTCGGCGTCGATTCGTTAATTTTTTTGGGCCGCAGAACCCCCGTCTTTGGGGCGTCGCCACGCCATGCTATGTCAGGCTACGCGTTGATCTTCAACACCATGCTATGCCACATAATGCTGTGCCCTGCTGCGACATCCGACTGCGCCAATAGAGAGGAGATCTACGCCATGGTGAGGGATGGGAGGGAGGGGAAGGACGTCAGGTATGACGCGAGCGCACGTGCCTTGTCACATCCCCCTCCTCCTACCGCTACTCCCCGGACCTCTTCCAGGGTGCGTTCTGACCAGGATTTCGAGGCGAATCCAGCGGTGGCGACGAGGGCCTCCGAGGAGGCCCAACAAGGGGAAAACGAAAGAAAGGGTAGGGGTATGGGTACTTGTTCCTTCTCCTTCTCCTCATCGTCCTCCCCCTCCTCCTCCTCCTCCTCCTCCTCCTCCTCCTGCTCCTCCTCTTCCTCCTCCTCCCTCTCCTGCCCATGGCGGCGGTGGTGGGGCAGCGGCCCATCGGCCCCCCGACCTGGCGCAGCAGCGTCAGCCGCTGGCTCACCGGCATCAGCTTCACGGGCACCGCCGCGCCCCGCGCGGCGGCCTCCGCCTCCCCCGCGGCGGCGCCCCGCGGCGGGCGCAGGCGGCAGTAGGCGGCGAGGCGGCACTCCTCGCGGCCCTCGGCGAGAGCGGCAGGACAGGCGGCGGCCGCCGCGAAGCGGTGGCGGAGCGGCCAGAGCTCCAGGAAGAAGGCGCGCCACTGGAGTTATGTTATTCCCATCGCACTTAAGGACCACATCCCAGAAATGATTTCGAGCACCCGGACCAGTGTCGAAAGAGTGTCGAAAGAGTGTCGGAACAGTGTCGGACGAGTCTCCCAGGGCCCGACACGTGAAAACCCTGGAGTTTCGGTACTGTCGTGGTGCTCGACACTCTTTCTGGTGGTGATCAAGGCTAAAGTAGGTGGGACATCATAACACTGGAGATCGTGCTTGATCTTCCCTCGCCGAGCCTGGGCTATCCAGTGGGGGGGGAGGTGCTGCTCAGAGGAAGAAAAAGTCCTTTGGGTTTCTTAATAAGCGTGGGGGGGTACCCCCCGACGGGGGTCAACCTCGCCTCGTCGTCGCGCCTCGACGGGGGTCGGAACGCCTTCGGCGCGCGGTGGCTGCCCGCGACGGGGGTCGATGTGGGGCTGTCGGCGGGGGTGGCGCCCCTCCGACGCTTCTAAGGAAACTCGGAGTACCCGTGCCTCTACCCTGCGCCCATTGTCCCCTTTTTGGGTTCTCTTCGTCGCCACCGCTGGATTCACTTCGGGATGCTGGTCAGAACGCACCCCGGGAGAGGTCTGTGGCGTAGCGGCAGCGGTACCTTTTGGCCGCCCCCGGTGCTGGCCGATCACCTGACCACCTTCGGACCTGCGTAGCCGACAGGGTCAGGTTCTCAGGAGGCGCGGGGCGGGGGGGGCGCGCCCGATCACCCGGGTCATCGCCGGACGCTGCACAAAAACAGTCTCCTGCCCGCCGCCGGCCAGGAGCCGGACGTCCGCGTCCAGCGCGGGCGTGTAGAGCTTCGCCTCCCGGCAGAGGCGTTCGCAGAGCCACCGCCAGTAGGTGCCCTCCTTGTGCAGGTGGCCCCGGAACTCGGCGGAGAGCCACGGGAGCACGCGCAGGCGACTGGGCCTGAGAGGGCCGAGGCTCATCTGGACCAACAGCCGCCTCCCCAGGCCCCACCCCTGTCAGGCGGGGGAGAATCGGGAAGGGAGCGGCATAGAGAGAGAGAGAGAGACAGAGAAAGAAGAGAGAAAGAGAGAGAGAGAGAACCAACATCAAGAGAGAGAGAGAGGGAATGCGGCATCAGTCTGAGTACACGCCGGTCGGGAGACTAGAAGGCGAAAAAAGTAGATCTGGATCGAGCCCGCTCAAAGAATAGGAACCAGCAGCCACCACATGTCGTTTCTTGAAGCAGGAATGCGCTCAACGTAAATTGGGCTCTGGGGATCTTGAAACACCTCTCAACGACTGGCGTGTACGCTTGGGCCCCGGGATGGCCAGGGCACGTAGGACGCCACCAGGAAGAGCGACTCCGCATCTCCGCTCAGCAGGGACTGGGCCATGATGCTTCTTCGCAGGCACCACAGGCCCCCAGCGACACCTGCAGTCACGCCCCGCGGAGGCGGGCGCCCCACCTCTGCCCCAACACCCGCCGAGCTTGAGCCAGACCAGCGGCTGAGGGTCACCGCGCCCCTGGCCTGGGAGTGCCCGCGGCCCCGGCGGGCGCCCTCTCGCGGCTTGGCTCTTGGGCCGCGCCTGGTCGCGGCGACGAGGCCCCCCCCCGCGCAGCAGCCTGGCGCTGGAGTCCTCACGGAGGAGCGGGTCTCTTGCGCAGGCGGGGGGCTGGGCGTCGGCTGCACCTACGGGCGAGACCCTGGGCAAAAGAAAGGGACCTCCGGTGCTCGACTTCCGAGGGCCGCGGGGGGGCATCTCGCTCCGCCAGCTGGGGGCACCCAGTGCGTGTCCGCACCAAGGGCCCCTCCGTAGAGGGCAGAAAATCCACCCCGAGAACAAGCACCCCGACAAGCGAAGCCGTTTAGTAAACGCACCCAAGGAAGGAATCGAAAAGGGCGGGTCTGTTTAGTAAACGCCCAGGGCCGTTCGGTAAACGCCAATTCCTGGGGTCTGGGTGTTTTTTCCTCCCTTGGCTCTGGCGAGAGGTCCCTCAGCACGTGTCACCGAGGGTGGCCCTGGCCGTCTTGCGCGGCCGGCGCAAGGTGGGCAGGACAGCTGCGCCGCCCGCTGTGGCAAGGCCACTGCGGGGGGCCTCCCCGGTCGTGCTGCGCGGCCGCCGCCCCTCCGCGGATCCTCGGCGCCGCCGTCCCCCCTGCTACTGGGAGGTCCCTGGAGACTCCGAGGAGGTCCCTGCTCGCAACGCCACGGGGTGCGACTGCGCCAGAGGCTCCCGGGAGGCTCCCGAAGACGGATGCTTCGTAAAGCCTTGGGGTCTCTGGGCACGCCGAGCGGCGCGTTGTGGCCAAAAGCCTGGGGAGCTTGCGGGGGCCACTCTGGAGTTATCAGGTATAAGGCTTCAGCACCACAGAAAAAAGCTCCAACGCGCTGGCGCCAAGCAATTTTGCGCCAAATGCGAAGCAACACCGCTTGAACTCTACAGTGCCAACGGCGACTATGCAGCCGTCAGACTAGCCGTCATATATCCAGCGCGCTGCTGCCAGAGAGCCCTGTGTCGTTGCATCGCAACATTGCCATACTCCTGCTGCGCTGCAAAACTAAAGCGCTATGCAGTTCGTCTCAAACGCGCATTCCTGCGAGTCCTCGGTCGCTGCAGCGCGGCAGAACTCCAACTCTATAGCGCTATGGAGCGACCCAGCTGTTCGAGCTGGCCCCTCGCTGCAAGCCCTCGAGGCCAATCGGAAATCGCTTGAGTTCGCCCCACAATCGATGCCTGCCACGAGGACCCGGAAGCTCGCCTCGGACACCCCGCGCGGATCGCTCCCAGTTGCCCGACAACGGACCACGTGCAACGCTGGCACCTCGAGGACAAAATTCTTGTTTCAGGATGCAAAGGCCTTGCACGCCCGTATCAGAAGGATACGCCCCTGCCGAAGCGTTTCGAGCGGAGCACGGCCAACGAAAGTGGCCAAGGATGGACCGATGAGCATCGTTTATCCGACCCCCATCCCCAGCGGCGCGGCCCGGGCCCCACGGGTCGATTAACCCCCCTAGATGGGGATATAGGCCGTCCCCTTCGGGTTTCGAAGGGTGTATCCCCAACTGGGGTGATAAGTTGGTGGGGGTCTCGAAGGGGATGGGGATGAGCATGGGGGTCGGTTCCACGATACTGAACCGAGGAGGCAAGGATGCAAGGGTACCCTTGGGCAGGATGCCCATCCATATCACGCGGGTTGACTGTATTCCCCCCCGTACGAGTAACGTCCGTTACGGCGGGGAGCGGCCTGCGAGCGCCACAGCATGCTCGTGAGCACGAAAGCATGCATGTCAGCTCCACTGCATGCCTGCGATCACCGCGTCATGCCCGTGGGGGAACCAGCCCCCCCCGCCGCGGCGTACGATCGGTACAACTACGGAAGGGGGGAAGGAAGGGGGGGGCGACCCCCAATAACGGACGTTACGGGCTAACGAAAAAAAGACACCCTCGACTGCAGGCGCGGCCCCAGCCACCTCTTCGGCCTCTGCTGTTGTTAACGATCGGGCCCAGGGGCGAGAAGGTAACAGGAAGGCGGCCCGCGATAAAGAATTTACAAAAAACTGCCCAATGTCCGCGTCGTGAAACCATCACAACGTCACAAGTCTAAGCTCGTCGGGCTCATAATCCTCCACCTCGCCCTACGAATTCGTCATCTGCTCTTGACCTACGCTCCACCGCGCTAATCCTGCCCAGCCTTCCCCCTTCCACCTGTGCCCTTAATCCGCACGACTTCCTCTACCTCCTCTTCCCATTACTCCTCCCGGTGTCTTCCCAGCCGTTTCTCCTCCGACTCCTCCTCCTCCTCCTGCCTCCTCCTGCGTGATTCCTTCTCGTCTCTTGTTCACGGCCCCTATCTCTGCTGCAGCCGCCGACCCTGCTCCCCCCGCCGCCTCCTGCTGCCGGCCTTCTGCCATGCCTTCCTCCTCCTCTTCCTCCTCCTGTGCGTCATTCATTCTGATGGACCTCCTTTCCGTTTCTCGTCCTCCATCCTCCTCCTCATGATCCGGATTATGCTTACGGGTCGCCACCGTCATCAGCAGCACCATGGGCATTATTAGCATCATCATCAACATCATCATCAACAACATCATCATCGTCGTCATCATCGTCATCATCATCAGCTTCATCAGCATCATCATCATCATCATCATCATCATCATCATCATCACCATCATCATCATCATCATCGTCATCATCATCATCATCATCATCATCATCACCATCCGTAATCGTCATCATCGTCATCATCATCAGCAGCATCATCATCGCCGGCGTCATCATCGTCGTCATCATCATCAGCATCATCGTCATCGCCAGCGTCATCACCATGTCATCATCATCATCATCACAACACCATCACCACCACCATCATCATCATCACCATCATCATCAGCCGCATCACCATCATCATCGTCATCATCATCATCATCATAATCATCATCATCATCATCATCATCGACATCGTCATCAGCATCATCGTCAGCGTCACCATCGTCATCATCATCATGAACGCCATCATCATGTTCAGCGACGTCATTGTGCTCCTCCTCCTCCGCCTCCCCCTCCCCTTCCTCCCCCAGTGCCTCCTCCTCCTCTACCTCCTCCTGCTCCTCCCGACGACCACACTCCTTGCTGAGGGAAGCGCCACGCGCCCATGGGGCAGTAGTAGGCGGCACCCGGGTCTTGCAGGTCTGCCTCTCGGCAGCTGGGCCGCAGGGCGGCGACGACGCGGAGGAGGCGGCGGTTCTGGGGGGCATTGGGTATCGAGGTCCGAGGACTTGCACATCTGTATATGCTGCCGTATGTGTACAAATATACACACACACGAGAACCACGCGCGCTTCGTGCGCTTCGGTTCTCACCGCAGCAGCGCCACTGCAACCACCCCTGGTTACGAATTGCAAGCACCAATTCTGCTACGGCTACTACCGCCTTTGCTGGCGCGGCCGCAACCACTTGACACAGCCGCTTCGATTGCCGCTATCGGCATAACTTCCTCCACCCCCTCCCTCCCGTTCGTCCACTTCCACTGGGGTACGACAGCGGCGGCGACGCCGGCCACCACGACGACGAGGAACGTAGACGACGACGACGACGACGACCAAGCGGACACTCCTCACGGCGACGACGACGACGACAACCGCGACGACGACGAGGACGGCGGCGGCGACCACGGACAACGTCGACGGCAACGACGACTTAATACGACAACGAACGCGACGGCGACTACGGCCTCTGACGGCGACGGCGACCGTCGACGACGACGGCGACCACGACCGTCGACGACGACAGCGACCACGACGACGACGACGATCTACGACGACGACGGCGATGACAACAGCGGCGGCGGCACGGGCGGAGGCAGGAGGGCATCGGACATCCTGCGGCGCACCCTTTGGCGGGGCGGCGCCCCTGTGTGGGGCCGCTGCGTCGGGCCCGCCCACTGGAACAGCCCCAGGGCTCCACAGCGAGGCCGCCCTCTTCCCCACACAAGGGTGCGCCCCAGGACTTCGGGTGCACTGTGTCGTGGTATCCTCCACTCCCGTCCTTCCTCCTCCCTATCCGCGAATGTCCGGGCGACTGATGAGCACGTGCATCGGGAGGCCTCGGAGGAGGCCTCTTGAAAGCGTGTTTGGGCCTCTTGGGAGACTATTCAAAATTGTTTCTGGGTCTCTTGGGGATCCCTCGGGGCCTCCAGGGAAACTTCCGCTTTGCTTGAAAGCGCGCTGGCATCGTCTGACGGCTTTTCAGCCGTTCGGCGAGGCTCTTGGATATCTATAATGTAAACAAGGACCCCCATGCATAGGCCGACATGCGCTTCGCCAAGCAGGCCCTATAATTACCTATGCGTAGGCCTACGGTAGGCTCATGCGAAGGCTACGCATATGCTTACCGTAAGCCTATAATAGGCCTACCCTGGGTCTACCGTGGGCCTATGCGTAGGCCTATGCACAACGCGGGCATAGGTCTACGGTACGCTTCTGGCAAGGTTACGGTAAGCCTGTGGCAGGCCACGGTATAGCCCCACATGAAGCGACGGTCGGCCTATACATGGCCTGTGCACAGGCCTATGGTAGGCCTGTGGTAGTCCTATGAGCAATCGATGCACTAGCCTATGGTAAGCCTACGGCAGGCGGTAGGTCTAGGGTAGGTCTATAGAAAGCCTATGGCCGGTTGTTGGTAAGCCTCTAGCAGCCCTATGGTAGGTCTATGGTAGCCCTACGGTATGCCTACGGTCGGCCCACGGAAGGCCTGCGGTAGGCCCACGGTCGGTCTACGGTAGGGTGACGGTAGGTCTACGCTAGGGTGACGGTCGGTCTACGGTAGGGTGACGGTAGGTCTACGGCAGTCCTACTGGAGGCCGAGGGTAGGGCTACGGTAGGTCTACCACAGGCCTATGGTAGGTCTAAGTTCGTCCTGCAGCAGGTCTGCCATTAGACCTACGGTGGAGCCAGTGGTAATGCACCGTAGGCTTGTGAACAAATCGATGGTCAGCCCGCAGCAGGCCTACAGGTCAGTCTATGGTAGGCTTTTCCTTAAGCCAAGGCTAGGCCCATGGGTAGGCTCTGGTAGACTCTATCCTGGCCTG